GTAAGCAACATGCCGTTATTAATAAGACAAATTCAACCAAAAAGAATATCCCAAAAATAGTCTTTTTTCTTCTTCTATTATCCAACCTAAGAAAAAAAAATCATTCCCTAATAATATTTAAATTAAAGGAGACAAAAAAAAATGAATAAAATAAAAATTTCATAGTTAGATCTATCTCTTCTTTATTACACAACGTAAACTGCACTTAAGAGAAATGCAAATTTTTAGTTGATAGTGTAATTTTTAAAAGAAAACTTTGATGCTTAGAATGTTGGATCATCACGACATGTATTTTAAAATTTGGATAATCAGTTTATTGAGTTGAATATTAAATCTAAAATGACATTAATATTAAATAAATTAAAAAAAAAACTTTACCAAATAATCCTGGTTTCTTATGTGTATCAATCATTTTTGGCGTTTTATCATCGTTTCGCAATGGATAGATAATGAAAAACATTGTAATTGTGATCAATTTTAGAATGAAACCAGCAAACTGAAGAAAATGAATTGGATATTATTGATCTATTACTGAATTAATAGAACATTTGAAATTTGTCCTATCAAAAACTTTTGTCAACTTACCGAAAGGTCATATCTATTCCGTAATAATATCCAGGCATATAAAATTATAATTAGTTTTTTTATAAATTTCGAATATTATAATTTTAAATCCTTAAAAATTTTAAATACTCATGGTAAATTTGCTTACAAATTTTAAATACTTTAAAATTTTAAATAATTTTAAATACTTATGGTAAATTCTATGAGCACATTTTACTATGAATGATTTTGCTAAAATTTCAATTTATTTGTTGAAATTCATTACATCCCAGTTTCAAAGTACCAAGGTGTTTTTTCACTTCCTTTCACTTTTTTCTTTTTTTCCTTTTCCTACAATTCACTGAAAATTATGTTGCTTTATTTATGTCTCTTTATACTAAATAATTCATATGTCATTTAAGTTATTTTACCTATCAAATTATTAATTCTTTTTTTCAATCATCACATTTCATTTATTCACCAATATATATTATTCTTTATTTAACCCATACAAATTGTTTTTTAAAATTTTTAAATTGTAAGGATTAAAAGATGCAACATTCCAAATCTATAATATTTGCACTTTATGTAAACTAAGTGAAATAATGAAAAATCATTTATTTGAATAAAAATTAATCTTATTTGCTATTTTACATTCCACTTTTTTTTTCCCCCAATGTTTGATGCAATTATTCTTATCACTAATTGACACTCTTATCTTTCATAATTTGTGCATTAAATTTCTAAAATCATACCGTAACAAAAATAATTGGCCATAAATCTCGTCGCCGATTATCACTCAAAATAGTGATCGTATAAATAAGTACAATAATTGGGAATGCAATTGCTGTTAACGATAACGGATAATTCAAGACAAGAATAAGTAATGATGTTAACAAGTATAAAAATAAACCACTGATTACAAATTTCTGAAAAAATTTAATTTAATTATTAGTGAATACAAGTTAAAAGAAGTTAAAATCAAAAAAATTAAAACAAAAACTAATTAAATAAATGAAAAAAACAAAAAAAGGAAAAAATAATACTAAAAATTAAATAAATTAAATTGTTATATGCATCTATAAAAGATTACAATTATTTTATATCAAATGTTTGCCAATAAAATTGCAATCAAAATTACAAAAAGTCATTTAATTAATGAAGTAGTTAAGACAATAAAATGACAAGTAATCAAGTAAATCAAGTCCATGTTATGCTTTTTCATGAATAAAAAAAAGATAAAATTATTTAAATTATATAAAAAGAATGGCAAAACTTAACTGTTTTATCACATTTCTTTCTGTAATCATTGTGACCATCATCAAATTCCAAATTTAACTCACGTTCAAGTATTAATGGATTACTGATGAATAACATTTAATTTTGAATATATCTGAAAATTAAGAATTTTTCGAAAAATTGAAGAGTACGGAAAAAAATGGAAAAAAAAACAAACTTTGTTTCACTTTACTTTGATATTTCAATAAAAGAAACATCAAACAGTATCGCAATATAGAATTGTATGTTAAAATATAATTAATTATCAGCAAAAATATTATCATAATTGGGAATATGTTGCATTAATTAAAGGAATATGTTGCAATTTAATTAAAAGTTGCAGTTTAATTTGATTAAATTAAAATTTAATTAAAAATTTAACTATTTAAAAAATGTATTCGCATTAATTAAAAATCAGGAATGCATTACATTAATTAAAAATTCATAATTTAATTAAACGCACTTCGTTTCTGAAATATCTATGAACACTATCAAATTGAAATATTGCTAGCAGATAATGTAAATTTCCATTTCCATTCTTATTTAATTGTCCTCTAATTTTCAAAAATTAAATTGTGAAAGGATAAAAACAAAAGTTTTTTTTTAGCTTTCAATTTTATTTCAAAAACTTAAAGATTGTAAAAATTAAAGTGACCATTCGTTTCGATTATATATATAAAATTTAAAATTTTTTAATCCTCCATTTTTTTCTTTCAGCAAAATTTTACATTTCATCTGCAAAAAAACAAATTCATATGTAATACGAAATAATAGAAAACATAAGTAGTGAAAGATTGAAAGGAATAAGTATAATTAAGTAGAGGATGAGAAAGGATGAAGTAATGGAATTTTTGGTTGCTAAAAATTCATTGTTAGTTTTTCATTTTACTAAACCTAAAATTTTCACCATCCTAAATTATTATTCCATTTTGAATTAGTAATAAATAAAATACAAATTTAGGAATATTTTCTTAAAAAAAAAATAAAAATAAAAAATTAAAAGCAAAATAAAGCCAAGAAAAAATTAAAAAAAAAAATTTTCCATTTTTTTTCTTCCCTTTTCCTTTTTTTTTTTTATTGCTATTTTTACAAATAAATTATTTATAATATTAACGATATTATTGGGAAGTTATTTAGCCGCATTTTTTTTCTATTTATTTGCTTTTGAAATTTTTAAAAATTTTAAATATTTAAAATAAAGTAATGCTTACAAAGTTTATAAGAGTATTTTGCATTGTAATAATTCGGATAAAGTTATTATCATTGAATATGATAATGCTATTATTATGTTATATCATTTAAATAGCTGAAATCAAATCATTAATTATCAATTTAATTATCTGACAACTTTTGAAATTCAAAATGCCAATAAATATCAATTAATGAGAATGAAAAAAAAAAAAAAAAGATGGCAACTTTTAGATTGTTATTAAGTACTAGAGATAGAAAAAAAATAGATTATTATTTTAGAAATGTAATTAAATTGTATTTATATTAATAGTTGATATCATTTCAAAATGAAATTTGAATTTAATTCCCGAAAAAAAGAATAACTGTAAGCATAGCTCGATGATAAGCATGTGTTTTATTTTCATGTTGACATATTGCAGGAATCGATATACTGATATGCTTACTGATAATTAAAAAAAAAAAAAAGTTAGTCAAATTAATGATACTAATCACTGCCTTATCTTCACATTGTGTTATCTTTACTATTAATTATTAATTTTAGGCTAAATGAATGTTAAATCCTTTACAAAGTCAAATAACAGTAGCATAGAAGAAAATGGTTAATTTAATTAATTAGCTTTATTTATTAATTCAAATTTTTGCTTCAGTAAATTTAGAATTGAAAATATAAAATTTCAAAAAACCGATAATTTTTTTTTTTGTTTTTAACATGAAATCTTTCTTTTTTTTCAAATTTAAATAAAAATCATTTATTGAAATGACTAGAAAACTAAATGCAGTAAAATATGATTTTATGAAAAAATATTGGAAGCTTATATTGTTGAAGCATTTTCATATCAATGAGTTTTCTCGGAGGAGTATACCGAAAAAAAAAAAAAAGAAAAATAGAAAATGAATACATTAGGCGTTTTTATTTATGCCATTTTCCGGAAAGCATCATCAGAATCTTTGAAAAGTAAATTTTATTCTTTGCTATTTCAAATTTTCTTGATTAGTGTATTGTTGAAGAAAAAATATTTTTTTTTTTCAAATGAATGAAAAGGAAAAAAAAAACTAATAAATGAAAATTGGTAGAATGTTTAGTTCAATAATAATTTCAAAAAAAAAAAAGAAAAAAAAATTTTGTTTTGAAATAATTCTAGAAAAAAACAAATTATTTCCAAAATTTTTATAAAAAGTATTTATTTTGTATGATAATTTTATGAAATAAAATAATAATTTATTTATTAATTCATTAATTCAATTAAAATATTAATTTATTGCTAATTTAAGAGCACGGATGAAAAAATATCATTTTTGCTATTTCTATTAATATTAATAATTGGCTATTGTTAAATATGTGATATTTGAATTTTGTCATCAATCATATGGCATTTTTCAATCTGAACAACTGTTATCAGATTTAAAAAGCTAGAAATATGATGAAATAGAATGGATATTAGCAGATTTGGATAAATTAAAAGATGTAGTGATGATAATTTAATATTATTTCCTTGTATTATCATCATTTATCATTCTTTCGATTACTAATTCTATCATTCATTTTTCAATTTTACAGTAAAAAATATTCGTGGAATATTCTATGATAATAAAGCCATCAATTCGTTTACTTCTATCGAATTATGAAAACCGGAAACGAAAATTCCATCGTTCAGGAAATGCTTTAATAAAACATTCTTTAACCTTTCCACATCATTAAACATTGAAATTGTCCTATCCACTTATAGCAAATCGAAAATGAAAAATTTAAAGAAAGAAAAAAAAAAAATTAGTGGGTTAAGAAATAAATGATGGTTATGCATTTTTTGATTTTTTTATTTTTAAATTTTTTTTTACAAGCTTAAGAAATTGTTTTAGCTAGTAGTAATATAGCAATAATATGGCATAAAATAATAATAAATCAATGAAAGAGAACAATAAATTGATGATGTATTTTTAAATATTATATATATACATATATATCAAAGTGACATATCAAATTGTCATGTTGATAATATAATTAAAAGATAAATAAATTTTTAGCCAATTAAATTTTAAATCTTAACAATAGCAATAAATAGAGATTAAATTTGAGAATTTTTGAAAAAAAAAATTTGAAATTTGGAAGTAAAAGAATTGGAAAAATTCGGATGAAATGGAAAATTTAAAAGTGATTAAATTAATGGAAACAACAAGTAATGGAAAATTTAAAAGTAATTTGAAATTAAAAGAAAACACAAAAAAAAAAAACAAAAGGATAAGATTCAATTACTATCTAATATTATATGAAATTTCTCAAATGTAAATTTTATCATTTTCATGAAAAATTACTTGCCAATTCTTTTGTTTCATCAAACATTTCATTTGAAAAAAAAAAATTTTTTTTACATAAAAATAAAAAATTAAATTCATAAAAACTTTTTTTAACAAATGCTTGTTTCTTTTTTTTTTTTTTAAGGCCAAAATTAATTCGTCATTTATTAGCATTGCACTAAATTGTGCCTCTTGTAAAACGAAAACAAATAGTGGCAAAAAAAAAAAAAAGAAAAAATGGAAAAGAAAAAAAAAAGAAAGAAAGGATTGAAACTAAAAAGAAAAATAATCAATGATCTAAAAAGTAAAAAAGAATGGCTACTTTTAGAATTCCGGAAAATATCCGTTCCAAAAATCATTTCCGTTTAGCTAATTGTTAATAATTAGTGCTAGATCATTTAACTTTGTAATTAATTACACATGATAGGATAAATTTATTTTGGTAAGATTTTTTAAATTAATTATTTATATATTTCTTCATTTTTTTATATTTTATTTTATACTATTTTTATAGTATATTTTATAAAAAATATTTCTCATATTATACAATATAATCTTCCAAGAATTCTATTTTTTTTTAAACATTTTTAAAGTTTTTTTGATAAATAAAAAATTTACTAAATGAATGAAATGATATATTAACTGATGCTGTTTCGTTTTTAAAGTATTTCAATTATTGCATTTCCAATTTTTTCACTTTACAAAAGATAGCAAAAAAAATATTTTAATTGATATTGTTTTGTTTTTCGTATTTCAATTATTTCATTTCCAATATTTTAACTTTACAAAAACCGCAAAAAAAAAAGTAAATCCTTTCACAAATGAATCATTTTAGTAATGAGATTAATAAATTAGTAAATTCATTAACACAAAATATATGACTTGTTTATAGAATACGATGGAACAGTTAGTGTAAGCATTTGAGGAATAATTATTGCAATCATAATTATTGAATCAATTTTTTTTTTTAACAAATTAATATTTAAAATGTGAAAAAAAAAGGAAAAAGACAATAAACAATGAAAATTTATTATAATTTTCTGCAAATTTTTTTTTTAGGAATTGAAAATTTTTACATTTATCGAAATTTGACGGAAAAGAATTGAAAAATGTAATAAGAAAATTTCAAAAATTTATTGATTTTATTAAAATTTTTGAAGCAAAAGTTTCAATAGAATAAACAAACTTTTTGACGAATGTAATAGCAATGGAAAATTGTAAAAAAATTATCCGAAAACTGATAAAACTGATAATACAATAGATAGGAAATGGAAATGGTAATTGGAAATCGTATTGCATGATTTATTTTCACTGATATCATTCAGCATAAAATTACATTGATAAATTTAAATATGCAAATGACACATAGCTATTATAAACATTGCATTGTTTACTTGTTTACTTATTTGCTTTACATTAGCATATTAAAAAAATTTTGATCAAACAATTAGAAATAAAAAATTTCATAAAATTTCACAAAGAAATACTAAAATTACGATAATAGGATGAATAACTTGTAGCATAAAATATTTTTAAAAATTAAAGAGAAAAAAGTTCTTTTTAATGTTGCAGCATCAATTAATGCTCCTAATTAATCAATTAATTAATTAAAATGG